TAGTCTAGTCTATAGTCTAGTCTATAGTCTAGTCTATAGTCTAGTCTATAGTCTAGTCTATAGTCTAGTCTATAGTCTAGTCTATAGTCTAGTCTATAGTCTAGTCTATAGTCTAGTCTATCTAGTCTATAGTCTAGTCTATAGTCTAGTCTATAGTCTAGTCTATAGTCTAGTCTATAGTCTAGTCTATAGTCTAGTCTATAGTCTAGTCTATAGTCTAGTCTATAGTCTAGTCTATAGTCTAGTCTCTGGTCTAGTCTATAGTCTAGTCTCTGGTCTAGTCCATAGTCTAGTCTATAATCTATTCAACTTTAGTACTTTAAAAAGTAAAAAATCTTTTTATAAATTAGTACTATTTTAAAATCTTAATTTTCCATGCCTGGGCAATAACCAGATAAAGTTGGTTAAAATTTAGAATTCCTTCGAAACTCATAACCTTTAAAATTGAGTTTTTTGAATTATAATTCGAATTTTTTGAGAGTTTTTTTTTTTCAATAAATAGCCTTTTGTGGAAAGCAAATTTTATAGCACCGAGTCTTTCGGAACTAAGATATCATTTCAGTTGCTCCAAGAACTTTCTATAGTAAAAATATTTATACGAAGTGTTACTTATAAGTTCCCTCAGCTAGAAAAGGGTTTAAACATTTCTTTTAAAATAGAAATTTTAAAAGTTATAAAAACCAAAGTTTTGTAACGACTGAAATGAAAATGTATATGGTCCTTCGAGCTCCAGTCTAACAACTGGAAACGGATTAAATAACATCTTTAAAATTATTCCATTTTCACTACAGTCTCCCTATCGAACTTACGACTAAAATCATGCAAATGTTGTGGAACGAATTGCAAAAACTGTTGCTGTTGCAAATCGTGTAAATGTTGCTGACGTTGTAGTAAAAATTGATGATATTCATAATCATCATCCATGGAGGGACTACGACTCATATTATTTAAATGGCTGTGTAAGATTTGCTGTTGTTGTTGTTGGTGCTGCTGGTGTTGTTGCTCTTCAGCCAAATGTTGATGTAATTGTTCGATTTTAATGCTGTTATTGGGATCATTCGAGGAAGGTAATAATTCACCATAAGTTTCATAGACAGGAGAGGTGGGTGGTGAGTTGGTTGGTGGTTCGGGATGATAGGAATTTATAGGACTATGATGATTAGATCCCATATGTAGATTGGTTGGGTGACCATGAGGATTGTTGGCTGTTAATAGTTGTTGCTGCTGTTGATGATGATGATGTTGGTGTAATTGTTGCTGTAGATATTGTTGTTGCTGCTGTTGTTGTTGTGTCTGTGAATTGTTGTTGTTGTTGGGAGTTGCACATTGTTGGCAGCTGCTGCTGTTGGTGATGTGGTGTTGTTGTTGCTGCTGCTGGGTGAATGAGGATTCATTAGCGTATTCGTTGTATGTTGCTGTGGTGTGGTTGTATTCATTAATTGTTGTTGTTCCGCTTGCTGTTGCTGTTGTATATATTTTTGCATAAATTTCAAATTTTCATTATCATTATGATTAAATGTTGTTGTATTGTTATTGTTATTATTATTAGAATTTAAATGATTAGAGGGAGATGAAGAGGCAGATGAGGCTTGATGTTGATGATGTTGAAACATTATGGGTGACATTTGTTGCTGCTGCTGCTGTTGTGCATGTTGTTGCTGATATTGCTGTGGTGACATATTACCCATATTATTAAGCTGTTGTGATTGCTGCTGTTGCTGTTGTTGTTGTTGCATTAACGGTGATGTTGGTGACATATTCATGCTGTGATTATTGTTATTGTTATTATGACAAGGCGATGATATACTATTGGTGGGTGATGTAGCCGCCGATTGTGTTAGTGATGATGTTGATGCATTTAATAATTGTTGTGTTAAAGGTTTAATATCTTTATTTTAAACATAAATTTTTTTACCCCACAATAAAACGACAATTAAATTGATAATCAATATGAAAAGAGACAAAAAAGAGAAGAATACGATAAATTATTAATAAGCATGCTGAGAGATGAGCTATAGTTTTCGTTTAACACTTACCATGATCGCCATTGAGCAGGCTCAAGTTGGCACTTTCTGTGCTAGTATTGAGAGTATTATTTGAGGCATTTATAGATTGTTCAGACGCCGCAGCAAGAGCTGCATTTGCGGCAGCTTGCTTTTTCGATAATTTTTCGGCTTTACAGCCTTTGGGTTTACGTTTGCGAGTCTGTTGAAGAAAAAATTTTATAAAAATTTAGTTCGGAATTCTTAATTTATAAAAACTTTTCTAGAAAAATTTAGAATATTGTATAATTTCTTTAAAAATTTACCTGTATTGTATCCTTTTTCATGGTTAAGGGACGTTTAACACTATGCAGCTTGTAATAGAGACCACAGGCATTACACACCGGTTCACCATTGGGATTACGACGCCATAAAGAAGTTTGGGTAGTCAAACAATTGGAGCAAGTCAAACCAGCCCTTCTAGAGGCACTCTTTATTAAAAAATTAAGAAAAAAAAAACAAAAATTAATTAAAAGTTTTCTAACTTAAAAAACAATTGTCGTATTCACAATCGCACAATCTATTGTGAATTGGACAATTATCAAATACTCAAAAATTAGAAAAAAACAAAATTTTTGAATTTGAAAAAATAAAAAAACAAATCGTATATTAAGAAAAACACCTACCAGACGTCGCGAAGTAGCACGACTAACAACATGTTCCTCTTTAATGTTGGTAGTGCTGTTGTTGTTGTTGCTGTTCCGATTTGTATACGGAAAGGTCTTATAGAAATCCCCGCCTGATTCAGCGGCCACTGTAATATAGTGATTGAGTTGTTTCATTAATTAAATGTTTAACAAACAAAAAAAAATTAATTGCATTTAATTTTTTTTCTACAAAATTTTAACAAACTAACTAAAGCATTCATTCAAAATAATACAAAAAAAAAACTTATTAAAATATTAATTTTTTTTGTTATTTTATATTTATAATAAATTCAATTAATTTTTCTAGGTTTTTTTTAATCTCTGCAAAACTATAAACTTTTAAGAAGCGAGAACGTTTTAAAAACAAAGGGCAAAGGATTTCTATAAGCTTGATTTTCTTTATTTTTTTTTTGTAAATTATAAAAGATAAATTCAAAAATTTTGTTTTTCTTTTTTGTAATTACTGTAAAATAATTTACCAATCTTCTGGGTGGTTTAATTAAGGGACGATTCATTCCGTTCATTTTATGATAAAGACCGCACGCATTGCATAAATAATGTCCGGTATTATCACGTCGCCATAGTGGAGTTGAAATTGCACCACAATTGACACATTCTCGCCCCTCCGTAAAAAAATCGGCATCAAAAAATGCTTCAAATATAATAGACACATAACAAAATACCATCAATATTTATAATGTTTGGGGTTTCTTTTTTTGCTATTTTAACGTTTCCAAACATAAAAAAAATTTTACTTAATAATTTAATGAAAAACAAAAAGTTATATAGTTCCTATTGTTGTTGTTTTGTTGTAGTAAAAATTATGTGTGATTGTGTAACAAAATCAAAAAAAAAAATTAATTGAATTTATTATAAAAAATAATAAATATTTGTTTGTTTTTCTAAATGATTTAAAAAAGAAATATAAATAGTGTTGAATGATTTTAAATAAAAAAATGATAGTAGGTTAGTTGATGTAGAGTATTTGTAGGCTTAAGAATAAAATTAATATTAGTAGCATATTTTAAGGAGGAGTATGTTAGTTTTTAATTTAAACTAAGTTTAAGTTATTGTTAATATTCATGTTTAATTTATTTGGGGCTCTAATCTAAACGATATTTTTTTGATATTTTAAATGAAATATTGCTTCTACGTAAGTTTTTGATCTTTTATCTTAATTATATTTAAACTATTCTCTTAAACCTTTTAAGTCTTAGGGCTAGTATCTTACTATTCAGTTACTCAGGGAACTTAAAATCGAAAAAATTTGGACGGATTTTAATCATCGTAACAGTAGATTTCTTGATATCAAACTGTGGAAACTTTCAAAGGGATATTTTTTATTGTTTTAAGTACTCGCTCAAATGATTAAAATATGTTATGAGGTTCAAAATTCTTAATTACAACTGTTAGCACCCACTTGACCGATATCATTTGACGAAAGAAACCGGAAAAACTTAAAGAAAAAGTTGTAACGTTTAAACTTGCTTTGAAGAAGCCAAAAATTACTTAATGATAAGTTTAAATTCGCTTATTGTGAGCCTCAGGTAGAGTTCCAGTCAGTCGGACAGGATTCAATTCCCGATAGGCCCGATGGAGGCCTATGTGTATATTTGGATTTGATGAAACATACATATATCCTTCAAACTAACGAAGAAACGAAAGATAGAACGAGCTAACTAATAAGCTATCTATCTATCTATCTATCTATCTATTCTATCTATCTATCTATCTATCTATCTATCTATCTATCTATCTATCTATCTATATCTATCTATCTATCTAGCTATCTATCTATCTATCTATCTATCTATCTATCTATCTATCTATCTATCTCTAGACTATCTATCTATCTATCTATCTATCTATCTATCTATCTATCTATCTATCTATCTATATCTATCTATCTATCTATCTATCTATCTATCTATCTATCTATCTATCTATCTATCTATCTATTATCTATCTATCTATCTATCTATCTATCTATCTATCTATCTATCTATCTATATTATCTATCTATCTATCTATCTATCTATCTATCTATCTATCTATCTATCTATCTATCATCATCTATCTATCGATCTATCTATCTATCTATCTATCTATCTATCTATCTATCTATCTATCTATCTCTATCTATCTATCTATCTATCTATCTATCTATCTATCTATCTATCTATCTATCTATCTATCTATCTATCTATCTATCTATCTATCTATCTATCTATCTATCTATCTATCTATCTATCTATCTATCTATCTATCTATCTATCTATCTATCTACCTATCTATCTATCTATCTATCTATCTATCTATCTATCTATCTATCTATTTATCTATCTATCTATCTATCTATCTATCTATCTATCTATCTATCTATCTATCTATCTATCTATCTATCTATCTATCTATCTATCTATCTATCTATCTATCTATCTATCTATCTATCTATCTATCTGTCTATCTATCTATTTATCTATCTATCTATCTATCTATCTATCTATCTATCTATCTATCTATCTATCTATCTATCTATCTATCTATCTATCTATCTATCTATCTATCTATCTATCTATCTATCTATCTATCTATCTATCTATCCATCTGTCTGTCTGTCTATCTATCTAACCAACTTTTATAGCGAAACTCGAAAGTGTCTTCCATGCGATAATACGATGAATGTGCTCTCACATTTAATCGCTGGAGTATAATTATATTGTTGTTTTGTTTGGAAGAACTTTTCCTCGCAGAAGAGCCATCAATTAGTTACATGCAAGTGACTTTTAGAAGACACTCAGACGTGACTTAAACGTACAGAAAGTGAAAAGTTGAAAGCAGTTGAAGGTTTTAACATCTTGTTCATTTTTTAGGCTTTAGGAACAGTAAATTCAAATTAGTTGTAGCTTTAAAAAGGAAGTCGTTAACTAAAACCAATCCACTACAAAAGACTAATTTTAAATAGAAAAAAACTGTATGGAAATCTATAACAACAAATGGTTTCACAAAGTCCTTTATTTAACTAGTAAATATTTACACAAAAACCAAAACCCAGACCACATTTACACAGGTTACGTAAATAGGAAAAAGAAAATTTTCTTAAAATCTACCTAAATTTTGAAGGATACTCAAACAACAATTTTGTGAAAACTGAGTAAGTGTGAAATTTTTATAAGCACAAAATTTATGTTTTTCTTTAATGTGGCCACACATGCGTGTTAATGAAGGGACAGATACATAAGGCAGGGAAATTCAAAAGAAATTTCTTGAGAGAATATAGGTTTTCAACGTTTTGAAATATTTTTTTTTATAAATAAATTAACTTGAAATTATATTTAAATTATTTTAAATACTGTTTGTCTGCTTTAAGAAAAAGGTCATAGCCTTTTTCTTCTTTTTTTTGTTTTGGTATGTGTGAACACATTAATATATAAAGCTTATCAGTTTAAATTAATATATAATACTAGGCAAATACGTGTTTTTAATATAAATAATAAATAAAGTAATTAACTACGAAACAAAAAATAAACAATATTAATTGAAATTTAAATTTAAACTTACTGGCTGACAATGAGGCAGAGGCCGACAAATGGGCTGCTACTAAATTAGTAGCAGCAGCAGCAGGACTTGTTACCTCAGCTGATGAGCTGACCGTACGACCATTAACAGCGGAACGTATAACATTTGTATTGGCGGCAGTTAGGACATTATTCAAAGCTTGATTACCCACCACCGAAGAGGGAGCATAACTAATGGCCTCATAAGGACTAGACCAAGTATCGTTCTAAATTGTCAAGAAAAGGAAAAATAAAATATATTTAATAAAGTAAATTTTGAAAAAAAAAACGTAGAGTATTTTAAAGCAACTTACATGAGTTCTATAATTAGTCAAGGAGCCATAACGATCGACTGCTGAAGCATGTGTATTTTGATTATAGGAAGTAGTGGCTATACGCTGGAATGCTGGCAAAGTACCACCACCACCACCAGCACCATTACTTTGTGTACTTTTGGGTGAACCATAGTCATCCGAATGAGAATTTGTTTCATTGAGATTATTGTTATTGGAGTTAGTTGTTAAAGCCCCAGCGGTAGTATGATTACTTTGACTCGATGTAGTGGCTACACCTGAACCAGAGCTATGATGTTGTGAGGCTGTTGGCGGAGGTGTTGAAGCTGAGGCTGTTGACTGCATACCATACTGCATGCCATTGGCTGCTGACGCTAGCAAAGGTGCCGCATACACTGAACTGCAATTCATAATTTTTATAAAAGAAAATAATTGTTTAATTATTACTTTAAAATTATTATTTTTAATTTATCAAAGTTCTTTTTTTATATAAATATAAGTATCAAAGTATTTGTTTTTCAAAAAATTTGCCTTTAAATTTGTTTGTATTTTGTTTTTAGTACTTTTTTTTTTAACAAATTTAATATGATGTCATTTTAAAAACATTTTTTTTTTCGAAATATTTATTATATATGTATGTATGTATTTTAAAAATATATAATATTATTTACCTATAGCAATAGTTTTTCAAGTACATATTATTATAATTGGAGAAAAACATATTCATTTTGTTGAAAGTTTGTTTTATTTCGTACCGGATGTTAGAAAACGCATACAATTTTAGTTTTTTTTTTATTTGATTTTTTATTACATATTTTTAAAATTATTCATAATATTAATAGCACTGCAAGTTAAATTGCTAAACATGTGAAATCTAAAGAAATAAATAGCAAAAAAAAGTACCTAAAAATAAAGTACTTTTATAGAAACTTGTCAAGCTAACTATAGAAATAATTTAAAATCTAATAAAGATTTTAAATTGAACGGAAAATATTTCTTAAAACTCTATAAACAAAACCTTAACTTGTCCCCTAACTTTTTGGTACTAATTGAGTGCCAAAAAAGTACTTTTTACACTTCTAATGGCATTAGAAACTTAATTTTTTGCTTCATTTGTGTCCATAAGTACTATAAGCTAAACAAGTATAAGTTACAGGTTTTTTTATTCAGTATGGTTTTAAAAAGTACTTTTTTAGTACTTAATATTAAAGAGCATGGTATTTTAAAATTTTGGACTTATTTTTTTAACACATTTGTGTCCCCAAGTAATAGTGTTCATTCTCAACAACATTTTTAACACATTATTTCAAAATATTATAAAAATTCTAATTTTAATTTCGAAAATAGTAAAATTTTTATTTAAAATGTTATAAGAAAGTACTTTTTACAGTACTTCTTACACTACTAATGCCATTTGGAAGTTAATTTTTTGCTACTTTTGTGTCCCTATGTGCTGTAAGCTAAACAAATATAAGTCACAAGAGATGTAGGTTTTTTATTCACTATGTTTTTAAAAAGTACTTTTTTAGTACTTTATGTAGTAGGGCATAAGATTTTGTAATTTTGAACTTAATTTGTTAGCACATTTGTGTCCCAAAGTAATATTTTTCATTCTCAACAACATTTTTAACAAATTATTTCAAAATATTATAAAAATTTTAGTAAAATAGTAAGTTTTTAAAAGTACTTTTTACAGTGCGATTACCATTTTGAACTTAAACTTCTTAAACACATTTGTGCCCCTAAGTGATTTAAGCTAAACACGAATAAGTGGCAAAAGGCGTACGTTTCTTATTCACAGTGGTTTCAAAAAAGTACTTTTTTAGTACTTTATATAGTAGAACATAAGCTTTGTAATTATGAAATATATTTTTGAACACATTTGTGTCCCCAAGCAATAGTCTTCATTCTCAACCACATTTTTAACAAATTATTTCAAAATATTATTAAAAATTTAGTTTTAATTTCTAAAATAAGAAGATTTTTGTTTACCATGTTATAAAAAAGTACTTTTTATAGTAATTTTTAAAGTACTATTACAATTTTGAACTTTACTTCTTTAACACATTTGTAGCCCTAAGTGCTTTAAGCTAAACACGTATTAGTCGCTAAAGGCGTACGTTTCTTATTCACAGTGGTTTCAAAAAAGTACTTTTTTAGTACTTAATATGATAGGGCATAAGATTTTGTAATTTTGAACTTAATTATTTAACTCATTTGTGTCCCAAAGTAATATTAATAATTTCCAACAAAAATTTTAGCAAATTGTTTCAGAATATAATAAAAATTTTAGTTTTAATTTCAAAAATAAGAAGATTTTTGTCTACCATGTTTTAAAAAGTACTTTTTATAGTACTTTTTACAGTACTATTGCCCTTTTGAACTTCACTTCTTTAACACATTTGTAGCCCTAAGTGCTTTAAGCTAAACACGTATTAGTCGCAAAAGGCGTACGTTTCTTATTCACAAAAGTACTTTTTTAGTACTTAATATTAAAGTACTTTTTTAGTACTTAATATTAAAGGGCATGGGTTTTTTAACTTTATTTTAAACACATTTATGTCCCCAAGTAATGGTGTTCATTCTCAACAACATTTTTAACAAATTATTTCAGAATATTATTAAAATTTTAGTTTGTATTTCTAAAATAGTAAGATTTTTATTTACCCTGCTTTTAAAAGTACTTTTTAAAGTACTATTACTATTTTGAACTTAAACTTCTTAAACACATTTGTGTCCCTAAGTGCTATAAGCTAAACACGAATAAGTCGCAAAATGCGTACGTTTCTTATTCACAGTGGTTTCGAAAAAGTACTTTTTTTAGTACTTAATATAGCAGAGCATAAGATTTTGTAATTTTGAACTTTATTTTTAAACAGATTTATGTCCCAAAGTAATATTTTTCATTCTCAACAACATTTTTAACAAAATATTTCAGAATATTATAAAAATTTTAGTTTTTATTTCTAAAATAGTAAAATTTTTATTTAAAATGTTATAAAAACTACTTTTTATAGTACTTTTTACAAACCTATTTCAATTTTGAACTTTATTTCTTTAACACTTTTGTGCCCCTAAGTGCTATAAGCTTGACAGGTATTAGGCACAAAAGACATACATTTTTTATTCATTATGGTTTAAAAAAGTACTTTTTTTAGTACTTTATATAGTAGCTTATAAAATTATGTAATTTTGAACTTTATTTTTGAACACATTTGTGTCCCAAAGTAATATTTATCATTTGAAACATTATTATAGTAAATTATTTCACCATATAATACAAATTTTAGTTATAAATTTCCAAAATAGTACTTTTTCTAAGAAATCCCTTTTGTTTTTATTTTAAATTTATTATTTTAAACTTTATTTATTAAGGTACTTGTGTCCCCAAGCAATTACTTTTAAATTGTTTAAAATTCTTTTAAATATTTTGTTTTAAAATACTACATTTTTTTCAAGACCCTTTATAATTAATTTTTCTTTAAAAAGTTTCTGTTTTATAAAAGGCAATGGTGTATCCACTTTTTAACTATCAATTTCCTTATTCCCTCTTTCTTTGGCTTAATTTTCAAAATTGTTTACTATATATTTTTGTCCATTTTTTTGTTTATATATATTCATGTCCACATAATATCAAAAACATTATTTTATTCTTTAATTTCAGCACAAGATCAGTGAGCGAAAAGACCACCATCACTATGTTTGTTTAATATCGAAAGACAATAACAAAATTAATTGGCAATTTTTAGCAGTATATTAACAACAATTGTGACAGAGTTATGGATTAATTAAAACGTAGAAATATTATGGTATGGTAGACTTAAGGAAACGGTACAGTAAAGCCTTTTACATGCCATATGAAGCCTCTGATTACACCAATTGACTTGATCACCATTTGTGACAAATATCAGCAGTTTATATATAATAGGTAAGTTTTTAATAAAGACGAAAATTTGCATTATTTCTGTAGATCGTATTGTCGACAACCAGTTTTGATCCTGCTGGTTTTCGAAAGTATTCAAATTCGAGATTTTTTTCATAAATTACCCAGTTTGCAACAAGTATTAGTACCGTTTATATTATAATAAGTTTACAAAAAGGTATTTTTTATAAAAAGTACTATTTTCTTTAATGTTGCTTTCATCAGCTATGATTGATATTCCCATACTTTTGTGTAGCATACTTTTAACAAATATTAGCCCCTTTTTTTGTGGGTCTCCATGTTAATAAGTTCAGTTTTTGTTTTTCTCTCTGGGCCTGTTAAAGAAATTTGATGATTTGTGTAAATAAATCATTGAAATCCTATGTTCGGATTGTTTATAATAAAATAATACAGTAGCTTTTCTAAATATTCTTTAGATCTTTTGAAACTGACAAAAGATTTCAAAGATACGCAAATGTATAAAATATACAAAATAAAAAAAATATTTTGTTGAAATTTATAAACAATAAGGTTTCAGCAAAAATTCAGTCAAAAATTTTACAACATGTTGTTTAGGTGATTGTGAGGATTTAAGAGGGACATACTGAATAAATAGAAAAACCTCATGTTTTAAGCTTTAGATTAAGATATTTTAAAGCCGATAGATTAGACTTTCAGATAATTTTTTGCAAACTTCAGGGCACAATAACTCAAAAATCTGATATGGGAGAAAAATTATGAGGCAAACATTTAAAAATAGAGGTATCTTAGCGCTATTATAACGTATTATAAACTGATGTTTAATGGTTTAGGTTAAGATATTTTGAAGAATAAAGAAGTTATAACAAAATTTAAAACTTTATTTTAAAGTCGACAGATAATTCTTTTAACGTTTCAAATGGTCAAAATCGGGCATTTTTCAAACTTTAGGACACGATATCTCAAAAATCTGATGTGAGGTAAAAAGTTAAAAGCAATGGTCTCTTCGAGGTTTTTTAATTTAGGACACGATATCTCAAAAACCTGATATTTAATGCTTTAGATTAATATATTTCGAAGAAGAAAGAAGTTATAACCGAGATTTAAACTTTATTTTAAAGTCGACAGATTGGTTTTTCAGATTACATTAGAACATTTATAGATAAAGGTGTCTTCGCTCTGTTATAACAACTAAAAAATTGCCAAAAATCTGAGGTTTTTCGGAATACGATATCTCAAAAACCTTATGTAAGAATGTAATTATGAGGATCGCTTCCGATTCAAAGCAGTGCTATCCTTTTGAAAAGTTACTTTGGTTTTTGGGTCTCAACTCTGTTTTCAAATTTTCTCGACCTGTGTAATTTAAAGATCGAGAGAGTGAGAGAAATTTTGAGGTTAGTTTCCGATTCAAAGCACTTCAATCCCTTTGAAAAGTTAATTGGGTTTTTGGGTTTTAACTCTGTTTTCAAATTTTGTAGACCTTTGTAATTTAGAGATCG